ATTCCAAAATCCATACAGCAGTTGAGCGAAATTACATGTGGAAAATGAGTGGAAATTAGTTTCAGAATTATATATAATTTAAAATAGCATTCCCCTACTCTTCCTACAAACCACAAAAGGTTCCTTTTTTTGAATCAGATTTTTTATTGTAATCTGCCTTGGGACAATAAACAAATTGCTTAGAAAATAAAGTAAGATATAATAAAACTTAACAGGATTGAGCTCCAATCAGTTCTAACAATATACATACATATGTACATTACATTATAGTTTGCTTATTTAGCTAAATATATGACGATATGTGGAAGATCCAGCTCATGTAATCATTTTAAGAGTCGTGCGTCCCTACTATAAAACACAAAAGGTAGTTTTAAAATATTTAAGTAATGCTCCTATTTTATATTTTAACACACACTATGATAAGCAACGATATTTTTACTCCACTGATCTATCATATTTGTGTATTTCAAACATGTCCATATTCGCAAGTTTTCCATCGGTTTAGAAATCAATCTGAAGTATGCCAAAAACAATTCGTTTAATCTTCATCTCCAGTCGCAGATCAGCTAAGAACTTGGCGCTGAAATAATTTCATTTCATTTGCGTGCCATGGAGAATATTTCTGTTAAGAACTGGGGAAACGGGCGGCTTCGTCTGACGACAACTTTACAATGTGAGCAAAACGAAACAGAAACAACAACAACGACAAGAACAGCAACAACAACAAGAACAACTATGGACAGACGGAGACAGAGGCAAACATGAATAAAATTTGCTTAAAAGTGGACACAACGAGCAAATAAGCAAGAACGAGTGCAACAGCGGGGCAGGCAACGAGAGGGAACGAAATGGAACAGTACAGAACGAGTGCATGAGCGAGAGGGAGTCATTTGAATTGGAGACAACGCTTGGACTTTGGGATGTTTGTAAATGTAGATGTGAATGTGGATGTGAATGTGAATGTGGATGCTTAATAAAATAATGCGACAGAAGGAACGACAATGACAATGATGATGATGGCAATGATGATGATCGAGTGAGTTGTGTGAGTGTGTTTGTGTGTGTGTGTGTGTGTGGGTAAATTTGCTTGTGTGTGGCGCGAAGTGAATTAATGGCTTAATTGAAAAATTTGTTCTCACCACAAGAGTTTCTTTGTGCGCCGTCATCGCCGTGGACAAATTGAGCGACTATCTGCAGAGTTGCCACACTGACCCGATGGCAACTCTATTTAAATATATGTGCATGTGCGATGTTCCCATCGCTGGCATCTTTGACTTTGACACCTTTTTTGAGCATTTCGATATGAAAGAAATTAGCATTTCTTGCTGCCCAATGAATTATTGAAGCAATCGCAGGCACTCAAAAAGTGCAAATCAGAGAGAGACAGGGAAAGAAGGAGATGAATCTCTGGCAGAAACGAGTTTCGCCAACTGGCAAGGAGCTGTCTGCCCAGTCGACATCAACGTGTTCGTCGTCTTCGTTCCACTGGGGCACTAATCAATTTCATATCAATTTGTAAATTTGCAATAATTACGATAATTAGCTGCGAGTATCTGACGATTCCGATGCCGATGCTCCACGTTCTGCGCCGAGAGACAGACGGGCGCAGAGAGTAGGACTCCGTCTGCATCTGGTACCTGTTTTGTATTCGGCTCCAAATGCATTCAAAGAATGCGTCGAGGTGATAATGAGATTTTTCAATTCAATAAAACATCAGCATCCACGACGATTCCACATTCGTATTCGCATTCGCGTTCGCATTCGCGCTGACCGTTGCCAATTTTGGGCTCGCACATTGTCGCGAAATCTCTGCATGAATATTTCATTCAATTTACACTTGGCTCGGGGCTTTTTTGCTCGCCTGCTCTGTGGCCAAAGGGAGCTGGCCAAGGATCTTGCAGCAGCTAATTAAGTAATTTTTTCTTCTTGCCCTGTATTTGTCTTGGCAACTGCTGTTGATTTTGCGCCTCGGCTGCGACTTGCCCCATCTACCTACCTCCCTGCCTCGCGTCCGCCCTCTCGCATTGCCTTTATGGCTGCTTAATCAACACCCTGTCCAGCTGCTGCAAACTTGGAATTGGCTAGCGGGTCTGCTGTTGACTTTTTCTTAATTGCTTCTTACAGCCGATTAAGTGCCACAGCCACAGCCACAGCAATTGAGCGCTGGAATTGGGTGCAATCGAGCTTGAAATTGTGGAAACTCCATCTTGCAACAGTCAATGCTGCAAATGGCAACATAAACAAGCGGGTTCTCCAGTAACTTAAATACTGATTAAATTGATCGCTAACTTGCGCACTTTTCGCAGTATTATTCTACAAGCAAAACTTTCGATAACTGTCAATAAACCATATACCAATATCTGTTTTAAAATTGAGAATGAAGCCCGTGTATCATTACAGTTCAAAGGTGCATCTAATAATAGATATTAATAGAGCATAAGCCCCCGAAGAGTTATCGCTTATAATTCCCAATTCGAAAAAAAAGTTCATAACACTTTTAACTAACCTTTTTTCAAATTGTTTATCTCTTTGCAGGTAAAACCTCGATCCCATTCGTTTCATCCAACTCAAGTGAGTTTTAGCAAGAATGTAAGAAAATAACAAATCCATTTTAATGCAATCCCGAATTGTAATATTACTTAGATTTGTGTAATTAAATGAATGTGCATTTGGCACCCTCCCGCGTCAATTTGAACCCCGCTCGGAAAATGGAAAAACTTCAATGGCTTGAGATAGCATAACTTGCAGGCCGCATGGCGCTGCCAACGCACTTGCGAGCGAATAAAAACCACCCCACAAAAAAATAAAAGGGAAAAAGTAACACGCACACACACGGGAAAACTTACCCCGTGGACGGGGTTGTTTTTCCGTTTTGCGCCATGCGCTTGTGAAAATGAAAATGAAAATCTACCCGAGCTGTGCGTCGGACTGCGATTACGTTGTTTTAATGCCATTTTTAGTTTTTCATCCATATGGCCGTGCCGTGCCAGACTGGCTGGCCAGCTGGAACGGCGTTTCAGCTTATCGGCCAGGCCGGGCGACTGGTCAAGCCGGGCCAGGCCAGGCCATGCCAGGGTTGCCATCAGCTTCTTCTAGGCTGCTGCGGCCCGAGTCGCTTGTTGCGTTGGTTATGGTACAGTGCAGATTCCTCGTTACGGATTTATCGTAGCCCGCACACACACACACGCATACACGACAGTGACTACTCCCGTGGGCATACAGCTAAATCTGTGTATCTGTATCTAATGTGGGGACAACTCGGTGGCCATGGCCATCGAGCATATTGTATCTACAAGTAGTCGCTGCCAAAAACCGATAGCCAAATTGCAGTTGAAATGTTTTTATCGATTTAACAGCTGCGTTTCGCATAGGCGGGGGTTACGTTTGAGTTTCGATTGGGTTGGGCTTGACTTTGGCCGAACTGGGTGAATGGATGTTTGGCGTGTGTTGATTGCCCCGACAAGACGAAACAGCCAAAAACTGTTGGCAAACACAGCGCCATATAACTGCCTAAAGAAAAGGGGCAGGCTATCAAAATTGAAAGTTAAACACAGCTCGGCGTTGCCAAATAGATATCTATTATGCACTAAATACAGATATGAGATTTACAAAAAAAATGGGTCGAGATCTACATTTATTTTGGAAATTTTGGTAATTATATAAGCTGAGCTTTAAAGTTATTTATTATTTGTATTGTAAATTTCAAAGCTCTGCAATTTCTAGACTTCGAGCTCGCAGGGAATGTGCAGAGATATTGTAGAATATTTCCATAAAAACTATTTTTATTTATTGTTAAATTCTAATAATAAAGAACTCACTGATTTTCCCCACATTATTGCAACATTTTCCATTGTCCGCATTTAAATGACAATTTAATTTAATTAAATTAATTAGCGAGTGCATTTTGGGTAAATATTTTTTGCATTTGGTTTTTAGTTCTCGGCCATTTGTAATAATTAAATTAAATGGCCAGCTGACTAGGGCGCTGGCTAACAAGGGAGCGGTCGCGGGCAGAGGGGGTACTGAAATTTTTTTAATTAGCGTCAACGCCAATGCCAACCGTTGCCAGCCGTCGCCTGTGGCAGCAGCGTTGGCGTCGACGTCAGCGTCGGCGTCGGTTGTGCGCTGCGGTGTTGCAACACGTGCACAAAAGCTGAAGCCGAAGGCGTGGCCAGGGGAAGCGGCGCCAGGCCCAAACCCAAGCCAAAACCGAGGCCGAGACTGAGGCCGAGGCTGAGGCTGAGCCGCAGGCCTGTTGGTTAAATCCCCAATGGGATCTCCACGTTTCGGTGTCGGTTTCGGCTTCAGTTGCTGTTTTGTGGCTCTGTGAATTAACCGCGCGCAGCAACAGCGAAAACTACTTTGGCAAGGTGTCAGCTGCGCATTAGGCACACCACCCCCACCACCCCCTCAACAACGTCCCCGGCGACCTACCTATTCCCCGAATCCCGACGAGGCCTGCTAATGGGCGTGTTTGTGCCGCAGGGCGGTGACGCTGGCAGCTCGTCATGTTGCCAACTAATTTCATGAAAGTTGACATAGAAGCACATGTGAAATCAGGCAGACGAGGGTGTTGCGGAGGGGTTGCCGGTTACCGTGTAGGGTGTAGGGTGGAGGGTAGAGGGTGGGGCGGGGTGAGGCAGCTCCGCAACAATGCCCAATGGAATTGTTTCATTTGTTGTTGCTTTGTTGCTTGTGCTGTTTTGTGTGGCGTTGACTAAATTAACATTGACGTGTGCGTTGTTGTTGTTGCTGCTGCCACATGTTGTTGTTGTTGCCACATGTGGCATTTTGAACAGCTCGTTGCTACGTTTCTGCGTTTTTATGTTGTTGGTAAACCAAATGAAATATTCACACATTTTCCATTTTATATTTTGACTTGTAGTTGTCGCTCCATGTTATGCGCCCCTGCCCAACCACCCCCCCGGCTATCCACTGTTTGGCTTCCTGCCGTGTTGAAGTTTTACGGCCGTATATGAATTTAACATTTTGTGTGTGCTTTTTGCGGGCACCATATAATTATCATATCATAGAGCAGAGGGCATGGGTTACACGGAGCACAGTCTCGGGAGTGCAATGAGCGCGTCCTTTAAAAGCGATTTGGGGCCCAGGCTCTTCTGGCACATTAGCATAGATAGGAGCATGTAGCCCTGTAGACGGGTTACTCGGGTTCTTTCCGCTGACTTAATGGCAAACAAATGAAACTTGAAAACAATTTCGCTTCAAAAGTAGTTTGCTTAGACTTAAATACGCTTTGCAAGTTAGTTTAAACATTAAACAGAAAACTTGTTTCTCTCCTGTTTCCTTAGGATGATGGTTAATGTTCACGATCCTAACCTACTTTTTATTGTTTCTGCAAATGCAGTTAAACTTTACAATATCAAGAAAAATGGTTCGAGTTTGCAAAATATATCATAAAATAAATTGAACGTCTCAAGTTAATCAACAACTTGACCGCCAGATTGTTGTTGGTACACCTCGATTGTGTCGCCATCCTCCATTTCTAGGGAGGTGGGCGTGTCAGTCGCGTTCATCGGCTGTCCATCGAAACGAAATCGGACCACCTGCATCGAAAGGCCTGCGCGGTCACAAAAGGCTTTCATTAGTTTACCCAGACGTGTGTGTTTCCTAATCTTGAATTGCAGAACCGCTTGGTCCTGGCCCAGGACGTACAGGTTAATGTACCCGCTTTCAGACTTTCTTCCCTCCGACATTTTCCAGTTTTTTTTTCGAGTTTCAATTATGTATCTGTAGTGTAGATATTATTCAGGAATGTGACAACTTGTGAAGTGACAATATTATTGAAAATGAAACTTGAATATATTTATGGTTGAATATCCAAAAATGAGAAAGAGTAGTTGGTATAAAAAAGGTAAGAAAATAATAATAAAGTTACGTTGCAAGAAGACAAGCCGGTCACGTACCGATATTCAAGAATTTCAATCTGAAGAAAATCAGAGTTTCATGGAAAGATGTTGAAGTTTAAGTATAAAATTTGTTTGATAAAAAACACCCAAACAAATTCCCATTAAAAAATCAGAAAATAAATAAAAATATTAATTGAAACCAGATTAGAAATTAGAAAAAACTAAGGCAAAATAAAAGCGGAAACAAGAATATTGAGTTAAAAAGAAATTATAAAATGTAAGTAAAAGGTCTTAGCTCGGAATATAGCTCTTGAAAATAGTTCAGGGTATTTTTTTCCATTTCACTGCTGTAATAATTTTGACAGAGCAGAATCGACTTATAGACAAAAATATGGTTTGTGATGTACATAAAATATTTATATATTTTTTTTTGTATTTGGGAATAAATAAATAACATTTATTGTAATTAATACAAACAATAAAATATGCAAATTTATAGAACTTTATTTGATATGAAGAGCGCATTTCAATTTCATGCTGGAAAATTTCGCCAAAATATCTTACATAAATAAGTCTTTAAGCCAGCTATGTATGGGAAATAAATTCACAAAATTGATTTTCCTTAACTATATTGATTATTTATTATTCTTCCATTTATATAATCATTTGGTATACTGCTTATATATTGTTTTTCCGCTCAGTATATATTCCATATCTCTGGGGATATAGGTCCGCACTATATTTCTATATCTGTCAGCCCATAGGTAGCTTGAATTAAGATTTTCTTTGGCCTAAACCAATTTCGAGTTCTTATTTTTTAATTTTTTTGGTTCAGTGCAAATGGTATCAATTAAAATCTTGTTTGCCGCAGTGCCAGCTAAAATATAAAAAGATACATTTATGAAATGCTCAGCTCAATTCTGCACTAGGCTGCGCATTTGCGCTTGTTAGGTTGCAATTTTTACACACAATTCACTTAAGCGAACACTTCAAGATGCAAAAGACACAGATACATATGCAGTTGCACTTGCAGATACAGATACAGATACAGACGCAGATACACTTTTTCGCACCGAGCGGCACTTGTGTGAAATTTTCCTTGCTGCAGCTGATTTCTCAGTCAAGTTCAGTTTGCAATTTGTTTTTGGCGCGCATTTGATTTGCATTGTTGTTGCTGCTGTTATTGTTGTTGTTATTGTTGTTGTTGTTGCTGGTGTTGCTGGTGCTGCTCCCGAGGCATTTCACGCTGCGCTGCATTTTCTTTTTGTCGTTGCCAGGCGGCGGCGCCGACGCCGACGCGGGCGCGCCCGAGACGGAGCCAACGAGCCATTGCCAGACGGAAAGACGAGCTGACAGGCGGAAAGACGAACGTTTCAGGAGGGGGGGGCGGAATGGGAGGACGAGGGACAGACAAAAGCCAAGTCAACTCAAGTCGTGTCACGGCAGCAGCAGCGGTCGGCGGAGAGAGTGTTGGAGAGAGGGGAAGGGAAGGGGGTGGGGTCTGCTACTGGGGCGGTCGCGTTTTCCATTTCGTTGAAGTGGAAAATATTTTGTAAATATTTTTGTGTGTTTTTCTTTCGCTTTTCCTCGCTTATTTTCTTTGATTTTCGTTTTGCTGCTGCTGCCTCCGCAGTTGTTATTTTTGTAAAGCTGTGAGTTTATTTTTTTATTTTGTGCCCCCCTCCGCCAACAGCCCGCACCAGCACCCCCTCGGCAACCGCTTGTTGTGTTTTGTATTTTTACAAATATTTTGTGTAATCTTTAAAGCAGACAATGATGACAGCGACGACGATGGCGGCATTTTGTGTCACATCCTGAAAAGTATTCTCCCATTTTGCTCAGTTGTTGTTGTAGTTCTTATTTCTGTTGTTGCTGCTGGCAAAGTATTTAAGCACGTGCGCACAGTGGGGCCAAAGTCTCACAGCATTTATATGGCCCTAGGGCGGCACGGCCGCCAGCCACATCCCTTTCGCTAAGTATCTGAATGTATTGTGTATCTGTAGCTGCTGTGTATCTGTATCTTACGCTAAAATGGACTCATATTTCGCGACAGGGCTGTTAGTCAGCAATTCTGTTTGGCCGGGTCCCGAAGTCACTGAGCCTGTCATGACATTCACTGGCTCTGGGCGACTCTTTTGCGTTTTGTTTTAGCATTTCTGCCAGTTGGCTTTGCTTGCCGGGGCTTGCTCATATTCTCTGAATAATGCGACACAGAAACGGAGAACAGAAAAAGAGAGAAAAAAAAACAATATATAGAACAAAAGTTTTGCTCATGGCCTGTCGCTGTCAGAGAAGTGTCAGGCGGCAAGTTGAATAGGACAGGGATAGAGACAGGGCGACAGCGACAGGGCGGCAGTCGACATGCGATGGGAAATGGAAATGAAATGGTTGTGGGAGGGGTGGAGGGAGGGGGAGTAGAAATCTCAACGATTTGAATAAGTAAATAAGCATCTATATGGATCAGGGAGTGGAAGGCACATGGCGGCAGATGACGGTGACATTGTTAATAGGGCTAAAGATGAGCGAAAATAGCACTGAATAATCAAATACCCTGCAATCGGTGAACTACCCTAGTTTATTGTTCCCCGAAATAAGTTTACCCTGGTGCTTAAATATGAACAATTCCCTGTAATCGGTAAAAGAGTACTTTAATTATCTACTGATATTATTTTCACTGCTGCCTGAATGTGAATAATAACCTATAATGGTTGAAATATTAGTCTACTGACATTAGATTCAACTTCTGCCTAATTATGAACAATAAGATACCCTGCCATGGTTAAAGGTCTAGTTTAGTTGTCTACTTACCTTAGTTTTAACTGCAACAACATAACAAATATTTATAAATTAGCCTGTAATCGGTTAAAGACTTATTTAAAATACCCTTTAAACGGCAATAAGACTCGTTTATTTTCCACTGAAACAAGTTTCAACTGGATCTTAGATATGAATAAAAAAAATACCCTTTAATCGCTAAAAGACTCGTTTAACTGTCTACTGACACTTTGCTCAATTGCTGCTTAAATATAAATAATAACAAGTACCCTGTAATCCGTAAAAGACTCGTTTAATTATCCCAACCATTACTTTCAAAAGAACAGAAAATACCCTATAATCGGTAAAAGGCTAGTTTAATTATCTACTAAATATGTGCTTCCATTTCCTTTTCTCTGTGATTCCCCCACACACATTTCCCAATTAACTAATAAGATATTATTGCTGCAATTGTAATAGAGATTGTTCGATAGTTAGATAATTGCTGGTTGTTTTCAACTAGATTAAATAATATGACAATTACGTGTGGATTCTATGACAGCTCCTGGCGGAGTCTTACGCTTCGCTCCGATAATCGCAGGCACTTACTGACAATTAGGCAAATACTCGTTTATAAACAGGCCGAAATGTAACTGAATGACCTAACTTGGCCGCTTACTTCGGGCCTAAAGACGCTCGCCGTCACGTAGACAAGGTTAATTGCTCTATTTTGGGTTAGCGTCCGTCCATTTTCAGGGCCTGTACGCCTCAGGTATTCTATTCGCACCTGTGGGCCACAGAGTTCGAGGCCTTGACTGTGTCTTACGCAATTTTATCTGCCTCTTTTATTTTTTGGAAAAACTATGAGCAATTGCATATTTCGGCTTTGGTTCTTATGCAATGCCAACTTTCACCTCGTATCCCGCTGATTTGGTGCGCTTCGTGGGGAGTCCAAATGTTGTCCAAGGCAGGTTTCTAACTGTTCAACCTTTTGGCTGTCCTGGTTATTTGTAGAAATTTCTTTTCAGCCGGCAATTTTTTCAAGAAAATCATAGTTGAAATTAAATAAGGTTTTGTTCCATCCATAGTTTCGGTTATATTCACGAAAGCGTAACAATTTGTTGTCTAGATAATTGAAAAATATATAGATTATATCTTTCACTCTTTCTTAGTCATGAGCATCTAGGACACGGCGAATATTATTACATATATTACATAAGATCTTAATATGCTGTTCGAAATAATAAAATCAATTGGAGCACAACAAATAGATAATATCAAGAATTTTGTTTTATAATAAGTTTGAGAGTACAGATCTTCCGCAGAAGCGAAGGTAGAATATGTCAGCAGCTTTTCTATAGCGTTTCTTTTATTTAGCCTAAGCAATATTTTTTTACAAAAGTACTTTTACGATAACAAAAAAAGTGAAAATGAACAATTCTGATGTCTTCCCAACGAGCGGTATTTAATTTCAAATACTAAGCAATAATCACCTTTTGACCTTTTGTATAACTCAAATTTCTAACGGCAAATTAGCCGACTGGTTCGCTCGGTAATTCCAGCACAATTTCCGAGCTGCTCATTAATTTGTTTCGTCTGCCATAAAATGTGTTATTTATGGTCCGAGCCTTCAATTTAATATACAACATTAGCTATAAGGCAGGCGAAATAAAACAAAAACAACAAGAACAACAACAACAGCAACAGCAACAACAGCAAACTAAAGAAATAATAAAAAATTATGTTCACTTTCGTTTGGGCAATAAAATGAAATTTAATTAACACTTAAAAGTTGAACAAGCGAAACCGAAAACCCAAGCGAAAAACTGGCCTGCAAATTGTTGACAACATTTGAAGTAAAGTCGCTTTGTCGTTGGTCAATGGTCAAGCGGTGTTTCAGTGTTTCGGTGGCTCAGTGGTTCGCTGGTTCAGTGGTGCGCACTTGAAAACTGCACACGAAATTATAATTTTCACACGCAATCGCAACTGGGAACTGGGAACTGGGCAACTGGCAACTGGACAACCGGAGTTGGGGCTGCTTGGAATGGTGTCTCTTGTAGCGACTGCTGTTGTTTCTTTTTCTGTTTCTTTTTTTTTTTGTTGAGCCCGCACTTAACAATTCAATTGTGGAACAATGTTACGAGTGAGGCAAGTTGGGGAGGCACTT